ATATATATATATATATATATATATATATATATATATATATATATATACGACAGACTGGCAAGAGGCTGCAACAATCCTCACGCCCATGAGTGACCAGTTAGAAATCGTGGATCACTTCAGCAATCTTGGGAGTCGTTTCAACCTAAAGAGGACTAACAAGAAATATCAGTGCGTATCCGCAAGGCCCAGGTGGCTTTCACTGATCTAAGTCACTTGTTGCGTCGATGCGATTCAAGTTTTTCCTCGAAAAGGCCGTCTTATCATCATCATCATCATCATCACCGTACGGTGAAATACAGTGAGGTGAACTAAACTGATAGCTGCCAAACCCGCAATGCATACAAGGTTGGTGGTTATATGCAAGGTAGATACGGATTGGACACATTATGAGGGAGGGAGAAGGTGAATCTCTACGGTCAACACACAGGATAAGCAATCGAACGCTGCATACACACCGTCTCAAGCATTCTAGTCTGATGAGAAATGGCGACACGAACGCCACTGCTATCGGTTCACTACTATATCCTTCAATGTATCCAACAACCAGTTGTGGAATCTTTCGGGACTCAACCTGGAAGGTAAGAGACACCTACTCTACCTAATCGCTCTGCATTTCTTCATGCCTGATCTCCACGTGGTTTCCTCCAGGAGGAGCGATTATATCGAATAAAGCGCTTGAGGGACAAGTAGGAAGAAGGGGTAAATGGAGGGATGGTTACGGAAGACGAGTTGAGCAAGAGTTGGGATGTCTGAGCAGAAGCCCACTTATCACTACCCACCCCACTCGATACAATGGGCAGTGCCATCCTGGTTTTCCTGCGCGACGACCTATGCGGCATGGAATTATTCATTGTTTGCGTATACATTGGGTTTGATGGGCGGGTACTGCCAGGGTGTCCAGACACTAAGCAGGAGAACGACTAGGGTTCTAGTACAAAGCCTTTACTTCTGACCAGAACCTAACGGTAAAGCAGCTAGTCAAGCAAAGTGGAGGCTCATTCACAAGGATATTTTACCGACTGAAACGAAAATTCCACTCGAACCCCTAATCTGGAGGGCCAGGAGACAGGACTTTGGCTAACCAGTTGCAGTCCACACAACCATTAACTGTGCATCTCCGTGAGATGGTTTTGGTTACCGTCTTTTGGCTGTCCATTCGGATGAACAGTAGGAGAAAGACAGAAAACATGAAAGAAAATCGAGAATTTCAGTGGGCCAAGATTCCGAAAAAAATTGAGATGCACGAACGCTACTGTTTGCAACTCCCAACCTCATCACACAGTGTCTCGAACCATCGGGTACGATCATCCGGCGAGCCCCAGCCAGGGAGCCTAACAGGACTTATTTGACCCAAACTCCTGGTTAGGGTTTTCATACCATCAGGCCACGTCTTAGTTTAACCACCCTTGGCTTTCTTTCACCCACTACCTGCCTCGGCAAACATCGCTCGCCGTGGTAACCCATCTGGTAACATGCGTAACACATGCCCCAATCACCGTAATCTATGAAGATCGACCACTTGCTCCAGAGGGCTACCGCGATATCCCAAAACTTTTCGGCTGACCTCAGCATTGCTCGTCCGGCTGCCCCACCAGACTCGTGTAATGCTATATAGACAGCGGTGCTCAAACATCGATAGCCTATCTGTATCCTGTTTTCTTAATGGCCAAGTTTCTGCTCCATATAGCAGAACTGGTTGAACTACTGCAGCATATACTCGACCCTTCACAGACAACCGGATGTCGTCACAGATGTCTCGAGTTGGTAAAGGCCAACCGAGCCTTCTGTATGCGAGCTGACACTTCATCTGTGATTCGTTTGCCAGGTGAGACATAGCTGCCCAAATAAAAGCTGTCGGTCAAAACCACTTGAACACTGGTCTGGAGCCCGGAAGATTTGTTCAGCACACACTGGATGAAGAACTACGCTTCATCCGCCAAACGCTGCAGGACAATGGTTACCCGGGAAAGTTCATCGATAAGAACTTCCAGCTTCCTCTGGAGAAGGAAAATTCTGCCTTTGTCCCCAAGAAAGAAGTATCCATAAGAACCCCATTTAAGGAGGACTCGCATACAGAGCGCCTAGTCCAATCACTGAGAGCAGCTGTGAGTTCCACTTTCCCCGCAGCCAAACGTAGACCAGTGTTCTCTACATCACCGTTCATGCGAATGCAAGTGAAAGACAAACTGCCGAAGCTGACCCCATCCATGATAATTTACTCTTTTAAGTGAGTCTGTGGCGCATGGTACATAGGTCGTACGGTAAGGCGTTCGTCTCAACGAGTTAAGGAGTACCACCCGCGATGGTTAAGTCAGGGGAAGACTGACTGTATCTCAAGCGCGATCGTGGGGCATTTCGTCGACACCGGGCACAAGATCAAATCGGAGAAAGCTTTCGATATTGCTTATCGTATCCCACTCAATCGATCGAAGGTTGCCCGAGTTTGGACACTGGTCATGGTCGAGGCGATCGCCATTCGCTTACTAGGTCCCAATCTGTATGCCAAAAAAGACTGGTGCAGGCGCTCCAATTGCCTTGGCCGGGTGTGAAAATCAAGACAGAACATAANAACACGCTAAACATTCCTACACACACACACACACACACACACACACCATCACTCTCTGCCTCTAATTAATGACCTTTAAATTGAGCCAATGGCTATCATTATGTAAGAATTCGTCAACTATATGATATGTAAGAGCATGACTGGGAATATCCCAAAACAAATATTCGCTCACCGACTCGTTTTCTCAGCGATTTTACACATTGCTAAAGATTTCTAACAGGAACGCAACGAGTGATAATGAATTTCCCACAGCACCCGCCATCTTGTAATACAATTTCTAATCGAATCTCCCACACCATCGTCGTGTTACTTCGAATCAATCTCTCCGGTTATGAAAACTGATCATTCATTTCTCCATACCACACGAACGGGTTCAGCTTCCTACGCCAAGTATCCGTCCCGTTTCAGTTTCAGTTTGAACAACCATTAACC